TTCCATTTTGCTCATGGGTGTAGGCACAACACTGACAAAGAGTTTATTCCAAGACTGACAAAGAGTTTGCCAAGCTTATTGTATTCTCCACCTAGATCAGATGGAAAAGCTTTTATTTTGGCGGAAAATGTACGCTCAACTAAAACCATATATTGATTAAAATGACATATATGTCTGTCTTTAGTTTCATGGGAAAGAACAAAGTATATTTTGAGTAATCATCCACAAATATAACGAAATAATGATGTCCTCCATTCAACAAAACTGGGGATGACCCCCAAATATTAGTGTAAATTAAATCTAAAACAGAAGAACTAGATGTTGTGACTCTTTCTAGAGAAAATCGTGAGGATTTCCCTAGCTGACAAACAGAACAAAGATAATTACTACTATCATTTGACGACTTTGACACTAGAAAATGACGTAGAATACAAAATCCTAATAGAATACAGAATTCTAATAGATGAGTTTAAAGTACGTATATGAATATACCCTTTATTATCAAAATCTATTACAAATTTTCTTAATCCTAATAAATGAATTTAAAGTACTTACATGAATATACTCTTTATCATCAAAATCTATTACAAATCTTCCTAAGTCTTTTCAATTCAACTTTATTCTTAAAAGTCAAAAAACTTTTATGTAACTCAAAATTTTGATTCCAAGCAATACATTATTTCTTGCCGTAAGTATCAACATCATTACCTCCATTGATATTGTTGAAAAATGGCACATCTTGATTATTTTATTACTCTTCTCAGTTTTCCTCTTCCAAAACACTAGTAATCAATAAAATTAAACTCTAATGGCCCGTTTGGTTCACGCCGCCACCACCACCACTACCACCCCAACACCACTACCGCCACCACCACCACCATCATCGCCACCATCACATATTTTTATAAGGATATTTATGTCTTTTAAAACATATTTCATTTCTATTCCTTAAATCAACCAAACACTGTAATATAATTCGTAAAGTCTATTCCTTCCGCGAACCAAACAATAGAATACAATTCCTATTCTATTCTTGCCTATTCCATTCCTTATGGAATAGCATTCCTATTACCTCAAAATTCATTCCGTGAACCAAACGTGCTGTAAATGAATCTAAATCAGACCCGCCCCACTGTGATAGGAACATAAAATTATTATTTCAGTTTGAATTTAAACAGCACATAATGATTAGTTCATTATAAGTATAATAATAATCAGTTTTGGAAGTGGTGGCATTCGGGGTGTGTTTGAATTCTGTGTTGCCAGATATTGCTTATTCATTCTTTCAAAAGGTCGAATCCCAACCCTAAGTCCCCCCACCTCAAAATTCATTCCGTGAACCAAACGTGCTGTAAATGAATCTAAATCAGACCCGCCCCACTGTGATAGGAACATAAAATTATTATTTCAGTTTGAATTTAAACAGCACATAATGATTAGTTCATTATAAGTATAATAATAATCAGTTTTGGAAGTGGTGGCATTCGGGGTGTGTTTGAATTCTGTGTTGCCAGATATTGCTTATTCATTCTTTCAAAAGGTCGAATCCCAACCCTAAGTCCCCCCACACTTTGGCCCGACAGAGCATTTACTGTTACACACATTAATGCTACTACACTACCTTAATTAATTAAATCTGTATTTAATTATTAATTAAATAGATTCATTTTTAACGTAACTTGTTTGGGAGATGGCTATTCTTTCCCCCCACACTCTGACCCGACAGAGCATTTTCTGTTACACACATTAATGCTACTACACTACCTTAATTAATTAAATCTGTATTTAATTATTAATTAAATAGATTCATTTTTAACGTAACTTGTTTGGGAAATGGCTATTCTTTCCAAAACGTTGAACCTCAACCCGACAAAACATCTGGAAGGATGTAAATCATGGTAACTCAACTAAATATGAACCATGTTCTCACTTTGAGAGGTTGCTCCCACACTGCCACTGGTGAGACTCGATCCCTAATCATTCTTTCCAATTTTCACCTCTATGACCAGTTGAGCTGTCCCTGCGGGCTGGGAGATGACTATTATATTCATGAGTAGTAAGTCAATATAAAAAGTTTATTGTCACAATAGACTTTAGGATATAAATTTAGAAAGAAAAATAACAATTTTCATATTATATATGACTGTATTCATAATGATGTTTGGTTTTACTTTATGTAATTAAATCTTACAAAATATATAACATCTCAAAATAACATGGCAGAAATGTAACTTCCTTTATTATTCTTCTTTATATTATTATTATATTAAGAAAAGGAGTCAAATAATTAAACATTAAACTATTCATGAAAATGCAATTCTCCTTCTACTACACAAAATAATAATAATAATAATAAATAATAAATAAATAATTCTTAAATTAGGCACTTGAACTTGAAAAAATAATGCAACTACAAGTTACCATATCGGTTAAAATTAGTTTACGTGGTATCTACGTATCTCCTAAATATTTATGTGCAATGTATTTAAATAAATAAATAATATAATATTAGTATTTATTTTTCTTCTGCCAGAAAAAGCAACCATTTTCATTGCTTTCTTTTGTAGCAAAAGGCAACCAACCGGTTGCCTTCTCTGACAGGAGAAGGTGACCATTGGTCATCTTCTCAACTCGGAGAAGGTGACCATTTAGAAGTCACTGGTTGCCGGTGTTAGTTCTCGGAGCATCACTATAGTATTGTCGAAACTTTAGTTACATGCATGCTATTACAAGTTAATAATCATTTTTTGGACTTGATGCACCAAAAGAACTTATTAATTGAATTAAGAGTTAATCAATTTTTAGTTGATTTAATCCTTCCGGCCGTCGACGGAAGACGGCCTAAGAGACTAAATCGACTAAAAATAATTATTTTCGAGAACCAAATTGATGAATAAACAATTGAGGGACTACATTGCCAGTTCGCTAATAATTAAGAGATCAAATTATTCATTAACTCTTGAAGTAATTGTACACATTTTAAAAATTTAAAGACATAATTAATTTTTTAAATAAAATTTAGACATATTGACTCTTTTTCTCAAAGGATAATTAAAAGGTTCTACAAAGAAGTCAAAACCTTGATAGTATAAAACTAATAAAATATAATAAGCATTAAGATTATATTGTGGAAAGTCCAACTCCGTCCTCGTTACGGCTGAGACCATTTATAGTTTCTACACTTCCCAACCCCCAAAATCGCATCAAACATTCTCCACGTGTGACATATGGACCATTTTACAATAAAATAAACTCCATTCAATTACGTATTTACATTTGTATCACTCAAATAGTTAGGCTCATGTTTTTAAAATTATGGAATAAGGGTCAAATAGGCCATCGAACTGCACACAATAATGCAATTAGGCCATTGAACTAAAAAAAACAACAATTAGGCCACTAAACTAAACAATTTCATTCAATTATTCTAATTTACAGGTTTTGTAGGTTACTAACAGGTCACCCAAACAATTTAAAATATTTTTTAAAAAATTATTATTTAAAAATAATAAATTAAAATTAAAAAAAAAAATAAAAAACATTAACCGTCTCCGCCGGAGACGAGTTTCTTGTCTCCGGCCATGGACGAAGAAAGTTTCTTCGTCTCCATGGCCGGAGACGAAGAGACTCTCCGTCTCCGGCCATGGAGACGAAGAGTTTCTTCGTCTCCGGCCATGGAGACGAAGAAGTTTCTTCGTCTCTGGGCGGAGACGAAGAAACTTTCTTCGTCTCCATGGCCGGAGACGAAGAAACTTTCTTCGTCTCTGGCAGAGACGAGTTTTTTTTTTTTTTTTTTTTTTTTTTTTTTATCAATTTATTATTTTTAAATAATATTTTTTAAAAAAATATTTTAAATTGTTTGGGTGACCTGTTAGTAATCTACAAAACTTGTAAATTAGAATAATTGAATGAAATTGCTTAGTTTAGTGGCCTAATTGTTATTTTTTTTGGTTCAGTGGCCTAATTGATTATTGAGTGCAGTTCAATGGCCTATTTGACCCTTATTCCTAAAATTATTCAGTATTTAAAAAGTAACGAAATATTTATAAGTAATAAAGTTAATTGAACATGTAGAAATTATGAGATATAAGATACATATCGAAAGTGTTTGATAAATAGTTGTTAAATTAGCTGATTGATTAGTAAAATTGACTAGTTAATAGCATTAGCTGATTGTAAAAAATAGTGGCGGAACCACCTTATATGAGCAGGGGGCCTTGCCCCCCACAAACAACTTCTAGAATTAGTATAGACTATATATAGAGTAGCAATTTAGAATTAGGATTACCTGTTTCCAATGGCGGCTTGGCCCCTCTCCACAAATCTTTTTATTATTATTATTAATATTATAATGGTTATTTTGTGGCTCCCCTCATCAATATATATAATTTTCTACCCTCCAAAAAAATTTCTAGGCTAGATTTTGGCAAATTATTGTGTGGACCATAACAAAAAGTACATTTTTAATATACTAAATGTACATTATATGTCTATTGAATGTACATATATAAAATAATGTACTTTCCCTAAATACAATGTACATTATTAATGTATTAAAAATACATTATTTTTGTACTAAATGTTATTTTATATATAAAATATGGTCCACATAGCTTGTATGGACTATGGTCCACACAATAATGATTGCTAAGTTTTATACTCAAACCATCCAAATTCCAAACATGTAAACTAGAAACGCAATACATAGACAATTAGATTTAATTTTCTTCAATTTTCAATCTGCAAATCTATAAGTAACTTTTCATTTCTTTTTTATTCTTGAAATCTTTGAATTTTTGTTATGAAATATTCTTTATTGGAGATGGATTCATCCGTCCTCACAACAACAAAAAGTTTAGATATTGTAGTAGTTAAATGATAGCTAAATGCCTAAATCCTTTTTTTAGTTTCCTCAATTGACGACAGCAACCGCGGTGATCGGCCCCCCGCACCATCGAATCCTGGCTCCGCCACTGGTAGAAAGATGTTTAGTAAATTAGCTCTTAGTTGATAGTCGATTATATGCAAAATGACTTTTTCAAAAAGTTGCTTTGAGCGGTTTTTTGAATTTTAATGTTTTGGAGCAATAAGTTGTTACAAAAAGCTAATTAATCAAACACTCATATTGATTGTTTAATCAAATTGAACAGCTAATAGTGGCCAAACAAGTCAAAATTAACTGATAAGCTAACTATGCCACCATATAGGGTCATTGTGTTAGTTTGGTAAGCGATTTAAATTATTGGTTACGCATTATAGCAATAGTTTATAATGATTTTATTTATTTATTTATTTATTTTGTTGGGGTTTAAGGTATTTGTTTTTGTTTTTGTTTGTTGTTTTTTTTTTTTTAACAAAATATATTTTATTAATCAAAGGAATTAGAAGGACTTACAAAAGATGGCCCAAAAGTGACCATAAACCATACTTAGCCCTTTAGATTGGGTCCATACTAATCTAAAGAAATCTAAATAAAGAACGGACCCAAAAACCCCAATAACAGGTCAGGTCTAAAAAATTAAAGAAATAAAATAAAAGAATTGACCCAAGCCCAAATAATAGGCTAGTGGCAGCATAGCAGATGTTTCTTAGAATAGAATGTACTGTTGCGCCACCATGCCGCACTACCACAAAGTTGCAATGCCGCGACTCTGCACCACAATGCAACGATGCAACAGTGCCAACACAGCCGCAACGCTCCACGCTAACGTCTCGTCAAAGCTATCGACTAGCCAAAACCTCCAAGAATATTAGCCCATTTTGTAAGACATCTGGCAGCATAACGGCTGTTGCAGGCTATCTCACAATGACAGAAATACACAACAACAGCTGCCCAACTATCAGCACAAGACAAACAAACAAGAGGCACGCAGGCCCAAAAAAATTACTAAATGGCACGCAGGCCAACAAATAAAGCACACAGGCCAATAGCATCAGTCCACCCAAGCAGCACCACCAACAGAATAGTAACCAGAACCCTAACGGGATTAGCTATAATGGGCCAGCAGCAAGCCTGGACAAACCGCCAACGGATTTGATAAACCCCTACCCGGCCACCGTTCAGCCCGGGCTAGGATGCAATTTCTTACCGCTTGCACCAATGTTGAGGCGTGGTCTATATTAAAGAAACCCACAAGGGCGAAACCAAATAAGCCTAAGACCAGCAATACCTCAGAAGCCAAGGAAAGACCTGCAAAATGAGAACGTGACAGAACAAGCAAACGCCACATTTCCTAAACCAATCAGGTAAAAAATCATGATTTCAAACGGCAGTGTATAAGGGAGCAACAGGCAGACACGAACAACTAGGCAACCCCCATCATATATGACCCGCCCCACCCGGAGCCCAGAAGGGACTCGACTACTATTGGCCAACAGCAAGCTTGACTAGGTCAACGGATTTGATAAATCCTGCTTGGCCACCGTTCAGTCCGGACTAGGGTGCCTCTTATACCGCTGACACCTGCGTTGTTGAGGCTAGACCTATCATAACGCCAAGCCATCATTGCCTCAAAGCAATATACTTTTGAATCTCTCTTCTTTTCTTTTGTCTTTTTCCTTCATTTCCCATTCCTTTCCTTTTTCTTTTTCTCTTCTTTTTCCAATTCTTTCATTTTCTTTTTTTTTTTTTTTTCCTTTTTTCTTTTCTTTTCTTTTGTCTTTTTCCTTCATTTCCCTTTCCTTTCCTTTTTCTTTTTCTCTTCTTTTTCCAATTCTTTCATTTTTTTTTTCCTTTTTTTCTTTTCTTTTCATTTTTCTCATTCTTCTCTTTTTTTCGTTTTTCCAATTCTGTTTCATTTTTCCAAAAAAAAAAAAAAAACATAAAACATCAAGAAAATCGGAGCCTCAGTTCAAGGTGGGTCATAATCCTCAAAGAACATCGAGGGGACATCATCATGAACAAGCAAAGCACGCACCCTCGGCGGTAAATCAAACAAGTTAAGAAAAATAAACTCCACATCCTTATCCTCAACCCAATCTGCCAAAGCAGCCACAGGGAGATTACCTTGTGGCAAACATTGAAGAACAGAAACAGATGCACAGGTGCAAAGAAACCGGAGCCGTGACACTTCAGAGTAAAAAACCAAAGGAATAGGAATGGAGGAATCAACATAACCCTTAACTCTGGCAATACAGACTATAGGACCAAAGACCTAAAATCCTCGGCTAAGCACCATTCAAGACAGCGGAACATCACACGGAAAAAATCCCGAAACCCGCCGACTGTCGAAATTGCCAAGCCATAGCAGAAACCAAACCCCCCCCCCCCCCTATTACGCACTAAGGCAGCAGTCCCACCCACAGACTCAGAGTATGAGAGATTGAGCTTTATGGAGCCATCCGGAGGGGCTTCCAATCCAACCACACGAACCACGCGACGATGGATGGTGGAATCTAATAGGACTGAATGACAGACCAGTTTGGTGGTAGAATGTGCTCCCTCGGCCACCGCCTAAAGAGACACTATGCCACCCCTTTGGCAACGCCATACATCACTCGAGGCACAACCGGTGGTCCTCTGTCATGCAAGCATGCGTTCCTGTGTTTCCATAACTCCCAAAGGATGAGATAAGGCAACCTGCAAATAACAAAAGCAACAAGACAGTTATGTGAAACCACTCACCTCCACCCAGTCAACAGCGTCCGTAGACCCCGATGACTGAATCGCAGGACGAGCGATCCTAGAAAAAATCCCCATACAGCCCTGGTAGTGTCCCCCGCATAAAAGATGTGATGAATGGTCTCCCTAGCAGGGTTACTGCAGCACCAGCATCTGGAAACAATAAGGTGCCCAAATCTAGCCATGGCATCATCAGTGGGCAAACGGCCTCGTAATACACGCCAAACAAGAAAGGACACCTTAAAGGGCAAGTGCTTATGCCAACATGCACTCAAAATAGGATCAGAATTCACCGGTTCAGGTCTTAATAATGATTTTGCAGAAGAGAAAGAAAACAAACCGTCCGTAGAAACCCGCCAAATAGGAATGTCAGCTACTCGTTGGCCTAGACGGGACATGTCCGCCTCCAACCCGGTTGGCAGTAGGTCATCATAAGCTAACAAGTCCAATTCCCCGTCCTGGATGTAGTCAGACAACAAATCACCAGAGTACTCCACCCCTGGGAAGGGGTAAAAGAGCCTTAGCGGGCCAAGTCCAGACCAGTTATCCCACCAGAGTCTAACATCGCCGTGAGGCGCCATCCCAAGACTGCCTCCACCTCATTCCTGATGCTGAGCATCCGCTTCCAAGTGTGTGAGTCGGAACTTCGCACTGATTTCGCCACCGGGTGAACTCGATGGCAGTACATAGCAGTCATGAAACTTCCCCACAGTGAATACACCTTGCGAAAGTTCCACCAAAGCTTTGCACTCGATGCACGCACCATCAGGTCAAGGTCAAGGAAACCCATACCACCCTCTTTTTTAAGGAGGGAGAGCGTTTTCCATGACGCCCAATTGTAGCGTGTACCTCCCAACTGCCACCAAAAGAAGCTCGCGAAGCACCGCTCAAGATCCCGGATAACTTGCTTAGGAGGAGCACAAGCCGCAAAGAGATGTAAAGGGATGGCCTGCAAAACAGAAGTAATAAGGACCGCTTCCCCCTCTCCCCCCCCCCCCCCCCCCTTTAGATAGCAACCGACGTTGCCACCTAAGGCACTTAGCCTTCACCTTGTCCACCACAGATGAAAAATAAACACACTTCTTCTTCCCCACATAAATAAGACACCCAAGATAAGTAAAGGGGAAGGGCCTATGAATGCATCCAGTGATATCCCTAATCCTACGAATAACCCAACCCGAAGTGTCAGGATGCATATAAAAATCACTCTTAGGGAAACTGACCATTTGACCTGAAATCTCCTCATATTCTTTTAGGGCTCGTATGACTTTGCAGATTGCCCCCTGCCTCCCAGTACTAAAAATAATAACATCATCAGCGTAAGCTAGATGATGAATATAAGGAGTACCAGTAGGCTGTGAGAATCTAGGTACACTGTTGTCCAGATGGACTCGAGCAAGGTACATAAAAAGGATCTCTGCAGCAATGATAAAAATGCTAGGGGAAAGTGGGTCCCCTTGCCTCAGCCCCCGGGACGAGGTGGAGAAACCCTCTTTAACCCCGTTGACAATCATAGAGTACCACACATTTGAGACTGCACGATAGACCAAGTCAATCCAGACCTTAGAAAAACCCATCCTACGCATTACCGAAAGAAGGAAAAACCAGGAAACCTAGTCATAGGCCTTAGCCATGTCTAGCTTCAACACTACATCCTGATTTCCTAACTTTATACCATGGCACATCTCAGAGGCAAGTAAAATATTATCATTGATTGAGTGCCCTGAGACAAAACCACTTTGGTAAGGGGACAATAATCTAGGGAGAACAGAAGCCAATCTAACCACCATTAACTTAGTGACCTAAAGGCATCGACGCAGGGCCTCTACAATTGTTTTAGGAGGATCGGGAGGTGGGTCTCCCACCTCCATAATCGACTTAGATCACCGGATGCTAGCGTCGGAGAAGCGGCTGGAAATTACGAAGCCAAAATCGTGAATTTTCTCGCTAATCGCCAGAGCTTGAGGAGAGAGAAATTAGGGTTTAAGGAATTTGTAATAATGTATACATAGTTCATGATGTTTACATTTTTTTTCCTTTCATATATAATATATGACATCTTTATTACTGCGAAAATAATTTCAATTCAGTTAAAATTTCATTTGCCAAGTTTACATTTTACTCTAAGGAGGCTTCACCTATAACTTTTTAACATGATGAACACATACAATAATCTATCTATCAACTTTATTGTTACATTAATAACTCGTTCGCTAAGTACTCTAAACTACTTGCTAGATATATTGATGCTTACATTTTCATATTAGTCTATCACATAGTACATATACAACGTATATATAGCCATTCCAACGGATATACATAGTACAAACTTAACCAATATATATAATCTTTATATAGTAGTTTTAAATAGCGAAACAATGCACTTAATTTAATACTATATTTAAATTACATTGTGATTAGGCCTGTGCATCGGATGGGTTCGGGCGGTTCGGATATCGGAACCGCCCACCCGATTGGATTACGGATTGCATTTTCTAATTCCTATCCGTCAATTTTTAGTGGAAAGTCCATTCGATTTGTAATTCAAATTCGGTCGGATCGGATTCGGATTCGAATTTATTCGGATTTGAAATAAAAAACTAAAATAACAAACTTAACTTAAAAATTACATAATTAGTAACTAAGTAACTTACAAATGTTAAGTAACTTACTAAATCTTCTAGACTTGCTACTATGCTAGAAGACTAAGTAAAATGCCAAACCATACATACAATCTTACATATGAATTGAGACAAAAACACAAAAATCTCTATCACTAAATGACAAAAATCACTATCACTCTATCAGGATCAGCATTCAGGATTTAGAATCAGCAATTTAGAAATAAGAATTCAGCATTCATCATCTTCCTGTGAAACGACAAACCACAAGTTAAATATAACCATGAACCATCCCAGATTCACACAATTACAGTTGCACAATTATGCTAAAAAATAGAAGAAGACTCAGATTGCTATGCTTTCATGTCAACGTAAGATTGGGGGCAAATTGCTACTTTCAGTTTTGGAATAGAAACCAAAACTAATGAGCAACATACCAACCCAAATCCATTTCAGACAATGGTGGAAGCATCATCTTAGCCAAATAGCCAATTAGTACAGTAATGAGAAAAAACAGAATGAGAAATTTAGAATAAGGGAGAGTGACTGGTATTACCAGATGTCCAGTTCAGATATATGATATTCATTAGGCAGTAGGCTGATACTGTTATTCCTGATGGGATCATACTATCATAGTATCATAGGAATGAGATCAAACTCCTCAAAGGATTGAATGGAATCAAGGGCAGCAACAAGCCAACAAATTCAACAATTCAATTATTAGTAGTTACCAAGCCCTTAAACCTTATCTTAATATCCCACATTGTCCCATGTTTTGCTTGTCAGTTTTCCTCATTGAAAATCAAATCAGAATTCAGTGAAATCACATATCACAGGAAAATGGAATGAAAGACTGTAAATAAAGCATTGCAGGAATGGTAGGAAGGGAAGAAACAGTAGCCCCAGGTCATGTGCTTCCAATTCCACTTATTCCAGTGGGCAACTCTGCAAAGTGAAAATAAAAACAAATAAATTACAATGTGAATTTAAATTTAAAAAGCTAAAAACAGAATGTAATGTTTAAATAAATTACCTTGTTTAAGCTTTTCAACATCATCAATATTTTCCTCAACCTTAACTGGTTGATTTGGTAACCTCAACCAGTCTTGTGCATATACTAGGGCCTCCACAATTTAGGAGTTAAAGAACTCCTAAATGCATCTAATACCCTCCCACTAGTACTAAATGTACTTTATGAGGCAACAGTGGAAATAGGGACTGCTAGGATATCCCTTGCCATTTTGGAAAGAGTAGGAAACCTCTGACTATTTAGCTTCCACCACCTAAGGATATATATCAAAGTCAGGACCACAATTTTTTCACTTAAATAGACTTGAAGCTCTGTTTCTTTACAACTTTCACCAGCCTCCATTTTTTGCCTATTGAATTTGTTTTTTAACATACACTGAGGTCTACCAATTGTGGTATGAGACTGGACAGGAGGCACATCTGGTTGGTTACCAGAAGATGATTGTTGCACATTGACAGAGTAGGTTGCTGCATAGTCACCAAACAATTCAACCATGGCAGCTTGGACCTTCTCTAAACACTTCTTCCCATTATCTTTACCATACAGTTCCTCAAACTGGTATGACATATATTCCAACTTATCTCTTGGGTCCAAGATATTGGCAAAGAAGATCAAGAAATTCATTTTTTTCAGGATCTCCCCAATACTTTACAAATTTAGTTCTCATTTGGGATCCCATAACCTAAGAAAAAAATGAATTAAATACAAATAGCCAAACACAAATTCAGAAATAATAAGATTAACCACTGAAAATGATAAAATAAAAAATAAGATTGATCATTACCTCTGTATAACTACCAGCAACAATCATGTTATTCAACATGTAACTCAAATCAGATATCTCACTGAAGAAACTGTTAGAGGTGACATATAGAGAACCAGATATTCTCACCGTCATCTCATAAAACCCTTACAGCAAAACTACCAAGCTTTCAACAGGTGCCCAGTCAAGAAAAGAAGGGACAGAATCACCCAGATAGCAGAAAATGAGGGCTCATTCACTGAATATGCATCAAACACCCTCTTGTATTGTATGGAAGTGTTAAGCATCATGTAGGTGCTGTTTCATCTTGTTGGAACATCTAGCTGTAAAGAACATTTTGCTTCCATCCCAAGCAGTTCTGCAAGCTCTCTGAATTTTTTGAGCCTTGCTGGTGAGTTTCTCATCCATCTAACAGAATCTCTGACCTTCTAAACAGAACTATCTGCGAATTTTAACCCATCCTGGACCACCAAGTTTAAAATGTGGGCTATGCACCTCATGTGCATGTACTTACTCCTAACAGTGGTTGTACCCCAAGACAACAATTTGGACTTAAAAAAACCCATAGCAGTATCATTGGAAGATGCATTATCTATAGTGACAGAAAAGACATCCTTAATCCCCCAGTCAATCAAACAACTCTCTAATGTCATAGCTATATGCTCCCCTTGTGAGAAGAAATAAGGACAAAGGATATGATTTTCTTATTCAGCTTCCACTGATCATCTATGAAATGGGCTGTAATGCACATATAATTGATCCTCTGCACAGAGGTCCAGGTATCAGTAGTCAAACTAACCCTTTGAGTGTTGAGTCTAAACAGCCTCTTAAGGTTTAATCTTTCATCAAGGTAAATCTGGTAAATGTCCCTTGAAATTGTTCACCTAGAAGGTATACAAAATCTAGGGCAAGCAACCAAAATAAACCTTTTAAACCCTTGCCCCTCCACAAACCTAAATGGAAGCTCATCAATAATTATCATCTCACATAATGCCCTCCTAATGGCTTCCTGATTGAAAACTCAAGTCCCTAATTCCCCACTACCCCTTCAGAACCCCCCTAGGTATCATATGTTGTCACAGTAGTGAAAGTAAGCAGTGACTGCCCAGTATCCTTAGAATGGAGATTTTTTAAGAAGCCAACCATATGATTCCTTAAAGAGGAAATGTCATGCTTTTTACACTCACATGCAAAGAGTTTAGCACAACATAAGCATTTCCCCTTTATTAATTTTCCTTCGGAATCATGGATCATTTCAAAATGATCCCAGACTTTAAATCTAGACTCAACCTCTTTCCTCTTCTACGCAGAAACAGCAAGATTAACCTGAGGCGGCTGAGCAGTTGTCTCAGTGCCTTGGGCTAGTCCTCCATGCCCCTCCTGAGTTGAGGGTTGAAGTCCAAATTGAGTGGCACTGTCCATCTACAAAGATGGGCACCACTTTTCAGTTTTTACGAATTTATTATTCCAGTTCCATCAACAACTCAACAAGTAACAAGCAGAACAACAACATATTAAACATACAAAGAAATCCAGAATTAGACACAGTAGTTTGTTTCATCATTTTTCCAGATTTAACAATTAGCACTTAAGGGTTATACATCCATAAACTAATAAACATAATAACATATACAATTATACAAACTAATCCATATTCAGGAACTCATTCCAGTTCATCATTATCTGGATTTGAGTTAACTGTTAAGGGATTCCACCAATAAATGGAAATTCCAACACTAGAGATTTCACATTTAAGCCTTTAACTCGGATTGAGACATTACAAGGTAGAGATCACAAGTTCAAAACCATAATATATCATAATATTCACAAATCAACAGGAAGAAATCAGTTTCTCAAGGGCTTCCACCAATAAATGAAATAGTGGCATAATATATCACCAAATATTCATCACAGTCTCACAAAAGAGACAGAACAAAATAAATCACAATACATCTCACATAAATCAAGATATATAAAACTAGGGTTTTCGATTTCACAATGCTTTCACCAAATATTCACCACAGATCATCATAATATAGCACAAAGTCACAAACAGTTCATATTATAAACTAGGGTTTACGAATTACTTGATTTCTCCCAAATAATCCCCGGAGAACAAGGGCTTCTAATAACCAGTTCAGCACGGCTTCCACAACTCCAAATCTCGACTTT